ATTACCAGTTGTGACTGATCTTATGTATTGTCAGTTGTGACTGAGCTTATGTACAGTACTGTCAGTTATGACTGAGCTTATTTACAGTACTGTCAGTTATGACTGAGCTTATTTACAGTGTTATCGGTTGTGACTGAGCTTATTTACAGTGTTGTCAGTTGTGACTAAGCTTATTTACAGTGTTGTCAGTTGTGACTAAGCTTATTTACAGTGTTGTCAGTTGTGACTGAGCTTATTTACAGTACTGTCAGTTGTGACTGAGCTTATTTACAGTATTGTCAGTTATGACAGCTTATTTACAGTATTGTCAGTTATGACTGAGCTTATTTACAGTATTGTCAGTTGTGACTGAGCTTATTTACAGTATTGTCAGTTGTGACTGAGCTTATTTACAGTATTATCAGTTGTGATGGAGCTTATTTACAGTACTGTCAGTTGTGACTGAGCTTATGTACAGTACTGTCAGTTGTGACTGAGCTTATGTACAGTACTGTCAGTTGTGACTGAGCTTATTTACAGTATTGTCAGTTATGACAGCTTATTTACAGTATTGTCAGTTGTGACTGAGCTTATTTACAGTATTGTCAGTTGTGACTGAGCTTATTTACAGTATTGTCAGTTGTGACTGAGCTTGCAGCTCATAACATTTTGACAGATGTCATGTGGCTGAATTGATGCACTGCTGGGATCTCTGAAGAAGCTGCACAAAAAAGCACTGAGTTTTAATGCAACCTTTAGCCATTACACAGATTCCTTATGTCATATATATGTTGGAATATGTCTTCAATACTACTGTGGGCACTATCTCAGCTAAATAATGGAAAAAGAAGTGGCATTCTTAATTAACAGACTAATAACGAATTTTAACAAATTAAGTAATAATTAAGTAGTTGATCATATGTGATAACAATGCCTAAAGATTTAAATTTTACTGTAGTAGCAATTTTATTTCAAATAACCTGCTTATTATGACTAATACTACATCTGAACTTACTATAATGGCAATGGCATACTTCAACAGCAACCTTGACTTGAAATATTGACTTTTCATTTTAAAAGCCTGAATAACACAAAATAAATTTACACTTAAAAGTATCTACATTTACTTTTTACCTGCATTTCATCTTCTTCTGGTAGGTCAACATGGAAGTTTAAGTTAGTTAAGCAACAAGGCACTAGCCGCCGAAGTTTCACAAATAGCCCCTGGAGAAATATGAAATGATTGAAAAAAAAAATCTTTTTTTCTATCTACTCATAAATATATAATACATGTGTAAATAATATGCTTAACCATTTCTTTTATAAATAAAATCCAATATAACAAGTCTAGGCAATACTTACCTCCATGCTGGAATATAAAAAAAGAGATAAATCATGAAAGAAGGCTGATAACTAAATATCAGGTTACCATGTCTCCTGCTTTGTAATATGAAAGTTGAAATAGGACTCGCATGATACTGACAGATAAACATGTTTTTAAACTCTGAATGTAGCGTGCCCTCCTCAAATATCCAGTTATTAAACTCTGGACAATGAAACACACCAAAAAAATAGTTCTCTTACATAAAAAAACTAATATTTTAATCAACTGCTTTCATATTAATAAGGATACAAAACATTGGCACTGATTAAATTATAGTTTCCAAAAAATACAAGAAACCCATGAAAGTAAGGAATCATGTCAGATCAAAAACTGATAAATCACAAAAGAATGACAGTTGATAACTAAATACAAGGTTATTTAGGTCTCTTGTTACACAGTAT